TTTTAACATGAAGAGAGCATGGCATGACAGAGTAAGTTGTTTTTCGATTCAAAGTAGTTTTCGTAATAATTGAGAAAAACAAAAAATACGGTTTTTTTTTTAAAATTACGGCACAGTGGTTTCATTATTTAAAATTGTGAACATTATATTTTTCTACCAGAAATCTTTGTCCAGAATTCAAGAATAGCATATTTTATAAAAGAAAATTTTGTTTAGTTTGCGTTTGTAAATAAAAAAAAAATTTTCGATTTTCCATATAGTTTTCCTAAAAATTACGAAAAACCAGGAAAAATATCTTGGGAAGCAAAGTAAAATATACCGCAGCATCTAGGTTTTTTGTTGTGATGCAGTTAAACATATTTGTAGAGACTGAAAACTTTTATTTGTCTATTCTAGACTTCAGTATTTTAAAAATATTTGAGCCATTTATGAGCTATTGATAGATATTTTGATTATGCAAGTTTTTTACGTCAGACAATTTTTATTATGGAAATAATACGCTAAACTTGGGGTACAGGACTGAATTTTTTGGTGGTGAGTGGGTACATAGTGTGAGTAGTATTTGTAGAAAATACTATAACAAATTGTAGTATGAGTAATATAGTATATTACACCCAAAGAACACCAATATAATATAATATTGTCTTGTTTGTTCGAGTATTTTTAAACTACTTCGGTGCCACTGGAAATAATACACAATGTAGAGTATCCAAATATGTTTTGATTGTATCTGAACATATCCTCCGATTTCAATTGTAAATTTAATATTCTATACATACTACCTTCTCTCTATGTATATAACTATTAAACAAAAAAGAACCCAGACGACCCGATGGCGCGTCGATAAATCTGTCAAGATTTGAAACGACATGGAAATATATTATTTATAGCTACTTAAATTACCATATATGCAGTCACAACCGATTTTAATCTTATAAAATATGATTAATTTTAATATATAATTTTGAGTTTTGTATTATAGCGGAAACAAATATTCTCAGAGATCGTAAAATTAAGTTTAATAATATAATAGTTAGGCGGTAGGAATTTTTATATTTTTGAAACGTTTCAAATAATATTTCATACAAATCAAAGGAATTTGACTTTTATAATATTGTGTTATACTGAATCATATTGCTGGACATAACAATAATAATTATATCATGATTGGAACGCTAGGATACATAGAGTGATTACATTTTTATCTGTTCGTTACGATTGATTATAAACGATGTTTAGTTAAATATGATTTAAATATTATAATATTCAACAAAATTTTAAAACTATTAAAAATCAGTCATGATTACATTACATTACTAAAATATTTTTTTTTACTTTCAAGTCCTATTTATGATGAACCTTGTTTTAAATAATTAAGCACTTTTGCTGACCAAAAAAATAATGTTTACATAAGTCAAAAATAGTACGCAAAATGCCATAATTCTTACATATTTCATTAAAATTTGAACTTTAAAAATGTTAACATTTTTTTCCTTTATACTTAGTATTAGTACTCTAATAGTATAAGGTCTGAATAGAGTAATACTATTTCTATAGGTCCTTTACAAAGAGATTTAGTTTTACAAGTGCTGATTTTAAAAGTTAGATCGCTGCGTGCAATACAAATTTGGATGGGGATCACAAATAATTAATGTACGAGTAAATACCAACTTGTATTGTCCATATTACTATAACAAAAGGTTTGAATTAATAATATTGTAAATTTAACACTCTAATATATTATATTTTTTGAAAACATTATGTCGTGTGCGAATAATGCAATTTTTCTTTTAAACCAGGAACCTAATATAAACTTTACAGACGTACACATGCAACACGTGCGGTATGTATTTATCTTAATACGGCGTTAGGATAAAATTCCTCGTCAAGTCAATAATTCTGAATTGCAAGCGTATAACATAAATTACGTAAATAACAGTGGCGTGCCGTTTAAACAATAAAATATATCATAATAAAACTTTGAGTTGTATAATATCATTATTGGATATAGTCTCCCTCTTCAAATGTAAAAATAAATGATTGCACTTAAATATTAGTATGTAGTTTTCTTATGCTCGACATACTCTTATTAATGAAGAGTAATTAAGAGAATTAAAAAAAGTTAAGGGAATACACGACTCCTATGAAATGGTTGGTATCCAATCCTTATAAAAAGGTAATTATCCTTAGTGGAGATTATCCTCTTATGTTAATATTTTCTAGATTTAGTTTGGTTTTGTGTAGATAAAATTGTTTTCGCTAAGTAGAAATGTTTGACGATTTTACAATAAATATATCATAATTTATTAGGTACTTAATATTTTTTTTTAGTTTTATTTTAAAGTGAAAATTGTAATGAGAGTCGTAAAAATTAGATGGCATTATGCATAATTTTATTTTTATTTATATGGGAATACTGTGAGCTGTTTGACAATTTGACAAAAGATTTATCTTTGTACTTGGTGGTAAAGAAAAAAAAGTTGAGCGTAATTTAGTAGAATTTTAACTGCTTTTTTAAGTTCAAATTTTGTTGAAAATCGTAAAAATAGTGGAATTTTAAAACACATTTAACCGAACTTTGCTCAGAATATTTTTTCGTTGACAATGATTTATAGATGTGTACAGGTATACTGTAAATAACTTTATGTATCCTAAAATCAGTTTTTAAATTATTTTTTCAAATATGATAATGTTGAGAATAAACCATTGCTAACGAAAAACGATTCGGAGTGAAATTCGGTTATACGTGTTTTAAAAAGTCATAATATTTACGATTTTTGTAAAATTTGATTTTAAGACTCTTATAAGAAATATTTTACACTCAATTTTTTTTTTACTACTTAGTACGACATAAGATGAATCCCACGTTAAATTTGCAAGCATTTATTCTTGGTTAAACAATTTTGTCTATGGAGTACCTACCAAATAAAAATTCGCAAATTTAAAATGTCTATAAATAACTTAAAAGTGTCACAAATGTTTTGAAAATTTTATCACGTCTAAAAAAAAAAAAATAAAATATAGGTTTTCTGTCAACATTTAAAGTCTCTATTAATATAACGCATATAACTTTTAACACAATTTAATTTAAAAAAACAACATTTATAATAATAAAAGAATTATTTTTTATTTTAAGAATTTATGTTTTTTTTTTAATCACCCTTATTTTTGGGGTTAAGAACACTTGCTACTTTTGATTTTCGCATGGCAACCTTTTTTTAAAATTCCATAAATAGACGAGGTATTACTTAAAATAAATTTTGGTGTTGAAATATTCGTATTTCGTCGATCCATTGACGAGATATTCCATTTTTAAGTTTTGATCGGGGGAGATTAGTGGCGGTACGTAGCGTTTTAATAATGCATTATCGTTCTCCACCAACAAAATCTTAAAAGTGGAATATTTTCATCAATCGAAAATCAAAAATTTCAATACTAGCATTTATTTTAACTAATACCTATTCTGTCTATTTATGGAATTTTTAAAATAGGTGCCATTCGAAAATTAAAAGTAGGAAGTGGTTTTAGCTCCAAAAATAAGGGTGACAAAAAATAATTTAAATATAAAATTGTAGAACAGCTTGTTTCTTAAATTAAATATTCTAAAAAACAAATTTCAGAAAAAGTGAATACTTTCCGAAATAACGAGTATCTTACGATAGATTGATCACCTCTATATCGGTGAAAGATTTATTTTCGAAAAATTGTTTACAGACAGAAAAAACAAAATTAAAAAATCACCCATTATGATGCGTAAAACTAATAGATTTTTCACTATGTTCTGAATCTAAAAGTAGGTAGGTACATTCGTTGGTTAAAAAAAATGTTGAATACCTACATGAGCACTCAAGTAGACTTATTGGCATCGTTAAATGTTACATATAATAGCACTATGAATAATATTTAATGACATTTATTTTTGATATATGTTTTTGTGTAGCAGGAAATTTAAAAATGTTTATATTCAATAATACTTATTAAACTTATATACATGTGTTGACGCGGGTGGCGGTTCCTCTGTCCAGTGTAACGTTGACGTGGTAGTAATAGCCACCATATTAAGGCGTTAATTATGAACACACATACACACACACACACACACACACACACACACACACACACACACACACACACACACACTACATAGTAGTATAAAATCTTATGCATTATCGTCGTACATACCTAATATTATTATGTCACGTAAAAAAGCGTGAGTGTTAATCGCCACCACCGTTATCATTTTATCTAAAATAACGAGTTGCTAGTCAAAGCTCGTCGAGTAGGATAAATGAGAAAGTTAGATACAGAAGGGAAAACACATTTAGGATACTGAGAGAATAAGGGCATAAAAATAGAAAACAATCAAAATTAAACGACAGTGGCTTACGCGGACAATATAGCCTTATTAACCGAAATAGATAATTGCCTAAAAAACACATTTGTTACGAAAAATTAATCTGGGAAAATGGCCTCTCTAAAGTACCTCCCTAGTGACATTTCCTTTTAGAGACATTGCTGTCATTATAATTTGAAGCAAAAGTGCTGGTAGAAAAGTTGTGCATAGAAAAACAATAAAAGTATAAGCTTCTTTGCTTCACTCAGAATCTAAAATATTAATTTCCAAAAATCTAATCTTAAGTCCATAATTTTAATATATATATATATTTTAATTATATTATATTATTTATATATATATATATTTTAATTATATTATATTATATATATATATATATTAATTATATTATATTAATAATATTTTATATTGTCTCTTGCGCTAATCTACAGGTATAATATAGGTACACATAATACATACTATATAAATGTTAAGAAATTGAATATTTATTGAGATGAAAGTAAATATGACAATTTTAAATTTAAATTTTCGGTACCAAAATATTGATATTACAATAGTTATGTTATAATATAATAATAAAAATGTTATATAATCCTTTATTTTAAATTAATTATTGTTTCATTACTTCAAGCCACTGTTCCCACGATCACTTAGTGCTGCCTGGAATTTGTAGGTAGTTGACATTTATTGTTATTGTGTAGCTGTATCTTTTTATATGAAATTTCTCATAATATAATTCGTTGAACTCTTTGCTTTTTATTTTTATATTAGCAGATGGAGTTACTTTATAGGTATTTAATTTATGGTCAGTTTCTCTATTCTTGTAATGCAAATTAACAAAGATTGTCATATCTATAGCAACCTTTTGTCTCATATTCCATACGTGGACATTTGTGGTTGACATACTGACCTCGGCTCCATCCTTTTTCATCGTACAGTCGTACTCGTTATTTACATTGTCACTATACCATTTGAAATATAGGTATTGTTCCATATTTGGCACATCCCAATATAATCCATTGTCTTTAATTCTAACTTCAATCTTCGACTTATTTGGCATATATTCTCGCATGAAAAAGTCGTCAACTTTAATGTCAACTAAAATTTCAGATGTATGGTTGATTTCTTTTATTTTCTGGAGTACCGTAACGTTTGGGCCAATCATCAAAATCTCTCGGTTTAAAGATTTAGGGTCATCGGCATCTATGATTTCGTCATCATCCGATTCTGAGTCTGACAGTAATTCAAATTCATCACGGTTTTCTTCGTCCAAAACACGTACCGTCTCTTTGACATCGGGCAACTGGTTTCTAATGGATGAAGAACCAGAACCCATTCTGATAGTGTTATTTGTGTCGATTGACAGCGGCAAAGCGAACGCGAAAAAAAGGACGATTACGGGTAACAAAATACGGTAGATACGTCTATTCAACAATGTAAAAACGGTCGTACTGAGCGTCGGTAGACGGACATCATGGGAGACCGGTGGTTTTGAGTTAAAACTTTGGAGTATTTTGAATCAAGAGTGCGTTGGCATCGCCTTAATCGTCCCTACTCTTCCACCGTTCCGACCGAGTACAATATTCTCTTTTTTCTCGCTTCACCTTTATCCCAACTACCTATTTGGGATCAGCTATCCTTATCTTAAACTTCCATTTGACCCTATCAAAAGGCGTAATTACGGGGGAAAATATGGGGGAAAGAACCTCCCACGAACCTTATTTATATAGTATATTGTTATTTTATACAAATTTGAATTTCAAATGCAAATTTTCAAAACTATTATGAAATTAAAAAATTATAAATGTTTAATTGTATTAGTAGGTACCAAAATATTCATAGTTTATTATTATACTAGGTAAGCAATATTCTTAATAGTTTATTTCAAAAATAAATAGTTAATTTTTCTTTAAGTTTTACATACTATGCGTTCGAATGTGATTAGGTCATTGCGGTTTTTAAAATATTGACGTGCTATTTAATAGAAAGCTTCCGAGCTCTTGTAATGAGTGCTAACCTCATACGAGATTGACATAAAGATTTATTTTAATATCCACATATTTCCCAACTCGTATACATCGAAATTGTCCTCAAATCGTTCTTAATCGCATCCACAGTTGACTGATCAGTAGCGTTATTTAAATTAATTTTTTAATACGTATAAGTTTATACAGGCCACAAAACTTGTCTAGAATTTTCAACACAATAAAAAAAAAAAAAGACGTCTTAGGATAATGGGGATGGGTGCAGCCACTTTTATAAGTAATTCAATGTATATCTGTGCGCAACGATAAACCAATGCTTACAAGAAAACGATTCTGATCGGAGTTTAGTTGATAGTGATGCTTTGTCAAAAATATATATGCCATATTAAAATAAAATAATTATATAGGCTTTATATATTTTCTTTAATAATATTCGTTTAATGTTGTACCGATTTTCTCATTTTACCTTAGTTTTTTTTTCGGTTTTTCGCATTTGATTAGAAAACTCGTGAAGAATCAAAAATGACCTCTTTGAAGTACTTTCCCGCACCGATTTTCTTTCAAAAAAGATGCTACATATAAAAATCGAAGCAAAATATTTGGTAGAAAAGTCGTCCATAGAAGAAAAAAAAAAATATAAATAAACATCTTTGTAAAACTATAAGCTTCTTTGCTCCACTCAGAATCATACTATGTAGGTAAATCAGTAATTCAATTTATCCATTATTCAAATAATTTATTAGTATAACAGGGCAAATAACTTGATATAAATATTGGAGTTTAAATTCTCAAATGTATATCTTGTGCGATCCAAATGATGCCACTGCAACCGACCGCAATTACAGTAATATAGGTACCTAGTTCAATATTTGTTCGATTTTGTTTTTCTATTAGAAAACATATTTAAAATTTATAGAGTGGCATCTTATGTGAATGAACATTTTTAAAATTCATTACTTTCGATTTTGATTTTTGATGTGATTCGATTAAAAATAATCGTAGACCTGAAATCAGTGGGGGACTGAAAAGGGATGCCAAGTTGCTATCTAATCCCGGGCCCCAACTTAGCCGAGTCTCATGTACACTCGGAAAAATAATTTTAATACAAAAATTATTATTTGTCAGTGTATTGGGTCCGAGAAAACGTTATTAATCATTTATCATTATTTATTATTACTATTGATTATAAATACTAGAGATTGCTCACTGCCATAGACAATATGCTGCGCTGTAATTAATTCTGATATAGAGTAATAATTTAATAATTTATATTGATATACCTACGGAACTAATGAGCACATTCTGTGTGAGCAGTGGCAGATTGAGACAATTGGTATTAGGGGAATATATTGCATATTGCACATATTAATTTAGACAACCCATCTAAATTTCAAACACTACCACTATTACCACTATTAGTTAACCTTAATATACGGTTAATAAAACCATTAATAAAATCAAAAAATCACCGCCCTAAGTACCTCCTCACACTAGTTTCTTATTAGAAAAGTTGCTACACTTAAAAATCGAAACAAGTTTTTTGGTAGACAAGTTGTGCTTAGATAAAAAAAAAAATATTTTTGTAAAACAATAAGCTTTTAAGCTTCACTCAGAATCTAAAATTTATAATTATATGACACAGATTATATTAAATCTGTTATCAAAATTAAAGTTTACATAAAAATATATACAAACTTTTACAAGTTACGGGTAGAATTCTGATAAATTCAATTTTGTAGGAACAATCATTTTGATTGTCAATCAACAACAGAGAATATTATAATTAGAGCTGGCAGTAGAATCGATACATAGGTTTGAAAATTAAATCATGGTAGTAAAAAAAAAGTATTTTATTAAGTACAAAAATGCATGAATTAAAATAATTACCTCCACCATAGTATATAATGTATTAAATGTATATTAATATATAAATGGATATAACGTAAACTTATATATTATAATATTATAATAATGAAATAAAGTTCAAATGAGGAAAATATAGTCTATGGAGTTAAATTAATAAAGAAATACACATACGGTTTTTTTTTTTTTAAATCAAATTAAATTTTGCTTATTACATAAGTAATTTGAGTAAACTACTTTAGTATATTAGTACATAGTATTATCAACAATTTAATACTTTTAAATTATATAAATAGATAATTTAATAAAATATTGCTATAAATAATGTACTTTTGTTTGTATATTATGTGTTTATATAAGATAAATTTATTAAAAAATATTTTCAATAACAAAAAAGTAATCAATATTATAATTATGGTTAGAATTATTAAATTGAGTTACCGTGTTACACATGACACTCTCAAAACTATGAACATTACTTTTTACTATGCTCTAGTTATATTAAAATATTAATGAATAAGATATTTTTTTTTAAGGTTTAATAATTCCTTTGTATTATAATCTAAAGTTAAATTATTATAGAAAAAATTATTAAATAAAAAAAGATTTTGTGACATTAGCCAAGTTAGTAATCGATTATAATGCAGAATTCTCAAATATCAGATATTTTTGAATTATGAGCAAAATAATATAATACAATTGTTATAGATATTTTAAATTTTTAAAATATTTATATTTATTATAATCGAGAATTATTTCTATTATTATGTTTTTCACTTAAACCAAACAATAATTATTTTGAAAGCCTTTTCAAAAATAAATTTATGACATGTACACTTTTATATAAGCACAGATTGGACTTAAACAGGCAGGACATTCATTTAATTTTATTGCGCATTCTTGACACGCATATATATGCCTACAAGGTATAAATACGGCTTTCATTTCTTTTTTTCCACAACATTTACAATTAGATTTATCTTTAGACAAACTATCACTATTAGTTTTGTGTGAATCGTTGGACGAACAACTCGGCAATTGAGCGACATCATCTGAATCCTTTTGCGAACCACTCGGCAATTGGACAACATCATCTGAATCATTTTGCAAACCACTTGGCAATTGAGCAACATCATCTGAATCCTTTTGCGAACCACTCGGAAATTGGGCGACATTATCAGAATCCGTTTGTAAACCACTCGGAAATTGGGTGACATTATCAGAATCCGTTTGTAAACCACTCGGAAATTGAACGACATTATCAGAATCCGTTTGTAAACTACTCGGCAATTGAACGACATCATCTGAATCCTTTTGCGAACCACTCGGAAATTGAGCGACATTATCAGAATCATTTTTCAAACCACTCGGCAATTGGGCAACGTCATCTGAATCCTTCGGCGAACCATTTGGAAATTGGACGACATTATCAGAATCCGTTTGTAAACTACTCGGCAATTGAACGACATCATCTGAATCCTTTTGCGAACCACTCGGAAATTGAGCGACATTATCAGAATCATTTTTCAAACCACTCGGCAATTGGGCAACGTCATCTGAATCCTTCGGCGAACCATTTGGAAATTGGACGACATTATCAGAATCCGTTTGTAAACTACTCGGCAATTGAACGACATCATCTGAATCCTTTTGCGAACCACTCGGAAATTGAGCGACATTATCAGAATCATTTTTCAAACCACTCGGCAATTGGACAATGTCATCTGAATCCTTTGGCGAACCAATTGAAAATTGGGTGAGTTCATTTAAATTCTTTAGTGAACATCTTGGCATTTGGATGAGATTATTTTCGCGTTTATTTTCGTTCAAGTATATAGAAACATTCATAACACATAATATCGGTTTAGAACACATGACGCATGATTCTATTGCAAAAACACAGTTCACGCAGGCAAAGGCATGTCCACAAGGAACAATGCATACATTAATTTCTTTTCTGTAACAAAGTTTACAAATCATAAAATCTGGTAATGTATTTACATCCCTTTCTTGGTAAAGATGCAAATTTTCTCTAAACAATGATATTTTTCCATTATTGTCATCGTTTTCTTCCAGATCCACGAGTTCCCTAAAATAATATTTTATATAATGTCAGATAATAAATCAGCGTATTAACCGAGTTATAAAACTCAGTGTTTATTATTGTTAACATATTTCATCATAAATTAATTATTTTGAATATAAGGTAATATTTCAAAATAAAAATGTTCTATTGCAATCACATTTTTACACAAATCATTTTCTATGCACCTACTACAAAACAATACTACCTATACAGGTTAGAAATTGAATTTTTTTTAATAATAAAATAACCATTGTAAAAAAGGGTTGATATTACTTATGGATATGCCACTGTTACTGTTGTAGGGGAAAATGCAATTTTTTTTGGTCAATTATTTAAAAAAAACACAATAAAAAACTAAAGAACGATTTACTTAATCACGAACTAGATTAAAAATTCAACAAAAAAAGTTACTTATTATTTTTCAATTGAAGCGATATATTTTGTAGAAAACATAGGTAGTAAAAATTAAAATAATGAAATTGTTGCACTGCAATTTGAAAAAAATATATTTTCCGTCTCTTTTGGTTTTAGATATTATGAGCTTTTTATAGTCATTTTAATTTTGCGAGTTTTTTGCGTAAGTTTTATTTGGTAGGTACTCTTCGGGTAAATTGTTAGACTTAACAGAAATGCTTGACAATTTTACTAGTGGTTCATTATTATTATTATTAAAAAAAAGGTGCGATATAGTTTTTTTTTTTAATTTCGATGAAATTAGTATAAATAAAGGCTTTTCAAATTATGAATTCTCTTAATATTTTTTTTCGTGAGCACTGGTTTATTATTGTTTACAGATACTAATTAAATAAATGTATGCATTCTACTTTCTAAACTTTCCACCTACAATAGTAGCACACCCATTAACTATATCATCTCTTTATTTTTAAATATTTCAACTTACAGGCTGTCCCATCAAGATATATCCCTTGAATATCTTCAGAGATAATAAAGACAATCAAATTATGTTTATTTTATGTTACTCATAGGGACAAGGTCTACAAATATTTATATTTGAAAACATTTTTTTTTTTTAATTAAAAATTTAAAAAATAACTTTATTTTATTTTATTCGGCAAAATAGTAAAAATGTAAAAATAGTCATTCTGTCAAGAATATTTTTCTAAAAACTTGAATATATCATACATTTATATCTCATGATGAGTTTCTAAGTAACAACCATTTTAAATTCTACTAATTCGTTTGAAAACTGATGTTACCTAAGGAAATAATCTAACCGTGTTGTGCGATTACAATTAAAAATAACGTTATTTTTTTAATTTATATTAATATAAATATTTGTAGTCTTTTTCTCTGTAATATAAAAAAAAAACAGAATTTGATTATCTTTATTATCTCTGGAAATATTCAAGGGGTATATTTTCGTGGAACAATTTGTATTTAGGAAATGAAACATACCCTTCAGTGGAACTTGCAATACCATCCTCAAGACTAGAATCACCTTCATGATCATTTTCCATTGGAATTGATCCCTATGAATGACAAGGTAATTTTGTATTGATATTCTTAATAAGATTAAAGAAATTCTTACTGTTGGGTTACATACTGGAATGGTTGCATTTAATAGTTTCCAGACTTTCTTGACAAAGTGATCACCTTTTTTCAATAACAGATAATCACATTCAGGTGAATTTAGTGCATGTTGTTCCCATGGATCATCGTTGTCATTCCATCTATCCAGTCCAATTGAGCAGGAGAAACAATGAACTTTATCAGTAAAACCATTTCCTATACGAAATTAACATAAATTAAAACATATATAGTATGAATATTAACTTATTTAATATTATTAGTTTACCAATGTAATAAAATCCAGCTTCAGCAAGAGATTGAGTACTCTGTTTTAGTTGAAATATTAATGATTGGAATGAATCTAAACGTACTTCGTAGTGAACAAAGTCCATATCACTATTCCCATTCATTATCTTAAAAATGTTTTTGTCAAGTAAGATACGTAATGTATCATTTAAATTTGGCATCTGATTTAAGTGCGGAGTCCTTTTATAGGTATAAGAAATATAATCAATGATTTGTAATTTATAACCAATGTCCTCATCAAAAAAACCTGTAAATATACAATTTATTACCATATCAATACCAATGGGGACATTATGAAACCAATTAATCAGTTTTTATCATTATTGAACTCAGTTATTAGGACTTTCTTCATAAATTATTTTGTTTAATGAACAATGGATATTTTAAATAACCCTAAACTATTATTATTAAAACTATTTTTATACAAAATATTATTTAAACTAAGATAGGTAATATAATTTATTTAATATTAAAAGTTGAATAGATAAAAATTGTTTAGGATAACCAAAAAATATTGGGTTTATTGAACTCAAAATATATTTTTCATAATTAAATACCTAAAAAGATAGTATTTCTCTCATTTTTGTTCAGTTTGGTTATTTACTAAGGATGTGAATTTGTAGTTTTTTTTTTTGTAAGCTAATTTCTAGTCATAGTACAAACAATACTAAAGTGCTTAATACATACAAAGTTAGAATTATGTAAATATTAATTCAGTTAGTTAAATTATAAAGTGATTATACAATTTAAATTTATTTATCTAATAATACATGATATTTTATCATATTTTTAAAATAGTGAATTTAGTGATTTATGTTTAAACATTTTCTATTCATTTAATGCATATTAGAAAAATAATATTCATTGCTCCGTATTAGTGTTGCTTCATAAATATGTTATTTTTACCACCAAGTATAACCTATGTTGAACCTCGTGATAAACTTTCAAACAATTTGGGCGAGCTAAAACAATTTCATCTCACATACCTAAAATCTTTATCTCACATATCTAGACTCGAAAAGAAACTAAAATTGTCATAAGTCTATAAATAATTAAAAAATCGTCAGGAGGTTTGAAAATCTATTCCATTCTATGTGTTTCTACGTTTATTTGTTAACTGAATTACAATACAAAAATAAAATCAAAAATAATAAAAACATTATTTGTACATATTTATACATTATTTATACATTTTTGATTGGCTATGATATTAGGTGACAAGATAACATATAATTCAATTTGTTTTAGTAAAAATCACATCAAGTTGTAAAACAATCTAAGACCTTAATTTGAGTCAAATTTCTCTTCGTATAGTATAATGGCTTATAGATTTAACGAAAAAAAACAGGAATGTAATAAAATAAAACTTACCATAAAAAAATCGACAACGTGGAGATAAATCTTTATGTCTTCTAATTGGATCATCGCTGTGTATCCAGTTACTGAATATTAAATTGCAATGCTTACATCTAACGTTATCTGTGTACCTCAAATAATAAAATCCCGCTTTGGCCATTTGTTGAGGTGTTAAAAAATCTAATGGCCATCCTTGTTTATAAGAAGCCAGCCGATTTTTGTACATTCCATCGTTATCAGTGGATTCTTCATCTGAACTCGCATTATCAATAGCATCATTAATTTCCAGGAGAGTTAATGGATATTTAGAATTTAATAGTATCCAAAAATCACTAGTCCTGTTGACAGTATTAGTCGTCATCTGTAATGTAAAATATGAATATCAATTAAGAAATCGAACTAAATATCCAGTACTTACTTCTAAGTGATAATAAACAGTTTTTAATCGATAACCAAGTAATATTCATTTATTGGTATCTAGCTAGGTATATAAGCTTTGCCAATTTAAGAACTATTGAAATAAGTACTGAGAAGTTTTATGTAATTCAATAGACAATAATAATTAGGATTCTTCAAATGTACTTGTTAGAAAAAAATGTCTAGTTAATATAATAGGTATGTATCCAAAAATAATTTTAAAAGTAATTAGAAGTGTTATATTATTCACTACTGTGTACAAATAAAAATAATTTTCATGTACAACTATAGACATAAATTCAATTTTAAAAAATAAATAATTTTGTATTGTAATACTACCTAATATTATATTTAGTCATAACTAGATATGTATTCAATTGATAAATAATTTTCCTTTTAGTAGGTACCTATATGATTACCAGACTTCCGAATTACTCGTAGCACAATATTATTATAAATAAACAATATGTGGATGGGTCTTATAATATTATAGCTAGGTTAGGGTTACCGCGTAATTGATAATGATAGAAATTTTGTGATTATTAATTATGGATTAAAGGTACGGTTTCTTAAACGCTACCTGTCGCGGCCACGCTGGTTGTATGTAAAACCTATTGATTGGTTTCCTACGTGCGACCACTGCAACGCGACAAAAATTCGTTGCTGCCACCGGCGACTGTACCGGTCAGAGAGCATTGTATCGTGACGCCTAGTCGCACGCGACAATGTAAAATTATGTCGAGTGAAACAAAATTTTCATCGGCAGAGGAAGAACTCCTCATTGAAAAAATTAGAAAAAATAGACCTATTTTTGATTTTGCCCATCATAAATATGTAGACAACATTCATAAGCTTTCTAATTTTCTATCCAGAAATAAGCTGTCTATTTTGTGTCTCTTTTTATCATTTTTAATTAATAATTTATCATCGTCCTCCTTTTCCTCAAATAAAAGTAAAATAATTTCATTATTATTTGTACCACTGATATCTAAATATAATTTAAAATAAAAAAATACAAACGTCTTCACGATACAATTAGTTCACAGATACTGCCGTATACGGCTATATAGTTTATCAATGTCGCAACGAGTGGTCACATCTAGGAACCAGTCGGACCGCGGCGACAGGTCGCTGTCCACCTATCGCGCCTAGGAAACCATTCCTTATGGTAGAATGGACTGGAAAAGACAAACGATGAGGTAGGGAAAGTTGCCTTTATTATCATAATTTATTTTAGAGGTACCGGTTGTTTAATTTGATGTTACATTTTTAAACATGATTATTATTATTCCTATTACAATTAGTAGAAATTAATAGTTGCCACTGCAAATCGTTAGATTACATTTCGAACTGCCATACTTGTCTTTTGTTAGCCAATTCAATACTACTAATAAAATGTTCGACACCAATTCTATCTTAATCCATGTTATAAATTATTTTTTAAATATTTTAAAATATTAATGATTTAATTGGGATTATTGAATACCATGATTTGGTAAATACTGTAACCTTATTGGTAAATAGCGTTTTCTTTGATCACACATACGTATAATACGATTAGAGCATAATGATTACCTATCTACTCGCATATTTTTATTATATACCGGGCGATCTATTTAAGTGGGTAGGCTCACTATTTCGGAAAGTATTAATTTTTTCGGAATTTTTTCTAGAACATTTTAAAAACAAATAGCTCTACAATTTTATATTCATATTATTTTTATCAGCCTTATTTTTGGGGATAAACCACTACTTATTTTTGATTTTCAAAAAGCAACCAATATTAGAAAGTCCATATATAGATGAGGCATTAGTTAAAATAAATTTTGGTGTTGAAATTTTTGTTTTCTGTCAAACCATTGACGATATATTCCATTTTAAAATTTGGGTTGGAGGAGAGTAGTGACTAGTGGAGTATCATTTGTGTGGCGGTACGGCGTTCGGCATGTTTATAATGCACCACTACTCTCCTCCAACCCAAACTTAAAAGTGTAATATCTATTTAACGGATTGACGGAAATCAAAAATTTCAACACTAAAATTTATTTTAACTAATATCCCATCTATTTTTAAACATTTTAATATAGGTTGCCTTTTGAAAATCATGGGTAATAGTTTTACCCCAAAAAATAATAAAATATAAAATTGTAGAGCTGTTTGTTTCTTGAATATTCTAGAAAACAAATTCCGAAAAAATGAATTCTTTCCGAGATAATGAGTGTACTCACTTCAATGGATCACTTGGTAGTGCTATAACTAATATTTATCAATGGTGAAGGGGTGGGGGGATATTAGGAGTGTGAAGAAGTCTATCTACAACCTTTTTAATTTAGATAAAAAGTATAGATCTTAAGTGTAAAAAAAAAACAATGATAGGGGTTAAAATAAATATTCCCCCTAGATATGCCACTGTATATGGGCACAATCGTTCAATGTTAGGAGTTTACTATAAGGAAAACGATATTCGTAAAATGTTGTTTTCATATTAAAATAAAATCTATACAAATAGTATTATTCGGTAAATTTGTTAAGATTTAAGATGTTTTTTGAAAATATCCAACGGTCCAGTTTTATAAATTTCTGGTTTCACGCTTTATAAATATAATCGTGTAATATTTATGTCTACAAATTAAGTATACCATAAATCCAAATCTTAGACATTAAACGTAAACAATATTCAATTCTAAATCTGTCCTATATAAGTACAGTAAGTAATGCAAGTTGAATTATAAAATCTATCAGGGGAAACGAAATAATATTAAGAATAAAAAAGAAAATAATAATGTCGCTGAACGTTGTAATTTATATAGAGATTTGTATATAAATAAATAGATAAAGGTTCTAAAAAAAAAAAAACAAAAAGAAAAAATATTAATACTAATATTTTTTTAATATTTATGTGCTCAATTATAAATAACTGCAGAAAATATCAATACAATAAAACTATATCTTCGTAAACAATACCAGTAAGGAGAACTTAACTAGTCAATTAAAAGGAAAAATTTTAGAATATTTCTCAATTATGTCAGAAATATACAGTATCTAATTTTTTTCATAGGTTTTTGTCAAATCATAAAATATAAATTTATATAATATCTGCCCTAGAGTTATAATATTATAGGAAAAAATTACGACGAGCCGAAGTCACAGTAGAGTACTGCTGAATATTTCGAAAAGTCGTATCTCAATTACGGAAGGAGAGAATATTAAAAATCTAAAACAAATTTTAACGTACCTTAATCGTGAATGTCTAGCAGTGCTACCGTGAACACAACGGGTTACTCAACAAAAATAAATCGAATGAAGATTAAAAATGTTGTCTGGATGAGCAAGGCTTCGTGAAGACCAGAGAAACAAACAAACGAACACGGATGACACAAACCAAATGAAGCGCGGACGGCACAGGACCGAAGTGTTTTATAAACTTAATATATTATTATAGTGTGTCCACTAACGAGACCTGTTGAGTGGGGCGAGAAACTACTAGTGGTGGTATTTGGTGATCGATGAATCAGTCAGGGGTTTTCAAAATATGCCACCGCCCCCGACGCCACGGTCGATAATCGATCGTTGGAGACGGAAATCATAATATTTAATGTAGTTTACCCTAACGGATAAGTTGTACCGATTTTCCCAGTTTTCCCATGTTTTATCTCGGTTTTTCATATTTAGTGGGAAAACTCTTGGGAAAATCCAAAAATGAATTGTCAAAGTACCTCCCTAGTCAAATTTCTTTTTAGAAAAATTGATATCATTGCAAGTTGGAGCAAAATTGCTGGTAGAAAAGCTGTCCGCAGATAAAAAATGTCTTAATAATATAGTAATATATTTCTTACATTTTCCCGTTTCCTCCATTGTTTTTTGGTTTTTTCATTTGATAAGAAAACCTGAGAAAATCAGAATTATTCTGGTAGAAAAGTTGCGCACAGATGAAAAAAAAAATAAAAATAAAACATATTTATAAAACCATAAGCTTCTTTGCTTAACTCAGAATACAACACATTAAATAATTATACGCGATTCCTCTTTGGCTTTTCGAGCAAAATTCTTGTTGCAATCGAAAAATGGTCTAGAGAAACGTTTTTGTTGCATTTTTAGATTTAGTTGGTGGATTAAGCCGGTTTCTTTGGCTTCTTGGTTTCTCAAGTGGTTTTCAAAATGATTGAGAAAAATCGGAATATAACGTATAGGAAAAATACATATTTACGATCCTCCGGCACAGAGTTATCGATTGTAATATATACGATTTATTAAACTTTTTTTTCTACTAGACATGTATGTCCAAATTTTAAAAATAGTATCTTTTCTGAAGGAAAATATTGTCTACTTGGTGTGTAATACGATCGTTTTTTTTTTTTATTTTCTATGTAGTTTTTTGTTAATTGGGTAAAGCCGGGAAAATTGTAAGAAAAACAGAAAAAACCCTCAGAAATAATGGTTTTATTATTTTCAATTTTGTTTTTTTTTTAATGGTATTGAAGTGGTTTTGTAGGTATTATAATATATTTCGATAAAATTGTTTAACCTATTAGAAATGCTTATAAAATTTTACAAAAGGTATATTTAAGTTATGTAACAATTTTATCTAAATATATTATAATACCTAAAAAACCACTTCATTACCATTTAAAAAAAAACAAAATTGAAAATAATAAAACCATTATTAAGGTATATTTAAGTTATACTAGTAGGAATGTGTTATGCATTATGTAGTAGTTTTTTTTTAAGATTTCAAGATCAAATATTGACGAAAATTGTAAAAATTATGGCATTTTAAATCAATAAAACATGTGTAATGTAACCTCATTCAGAATCTCTTTCGTTACTACCAATGGTTTTTCATTGCTTGCTGATAGAAATAAAATAATTTAGTTTATCATACCTTCTTTTTGTTTCTAATTAAAACAGTGGCACTCTTTTCCCCGTATAAACTGTTTTACATTC